CGGGCGGGTAGGACCTGGGGCTGGGCCGGGCGCCGAGTGGAAAGCAAAGGGTCGTCGCTGGAGTAGGAGGTTGGGAAAGGAATAGGGGCTGAACTGGAGGCAGGTGGTGGGCGGGGAGTGGGTGGGTTAGGTTGAAAGGAGGTAGGAACTGAGGCGGGGGCAGACGACTGGGGCTTGAAGGGAGGAGGCGTTGGGCGGGTCCCTTCCCCTCCCCTTTCACCCTTTGCAGGTTGGGCTAAAGCCCGGCTGTGCAGTGAGGTTTATCTGAGTCGCTGCGGGGTACTCAAGCCTGCCAGAAGGGCCGGGTTCTGGGCTTAGGTCTGGATGTGCTTGGGTGTATATGTCACCATGTGTGCATGTCGTCGTGCGTTTCTGCTCCTGCTGGCCACACCTGCTGACAGTAGAGGGGGAGGTGCGTTGCAAGCTGGAGGGTGGGAGTGAAATGATGGGCTCAGGAATTGCCTTGCCCACACCTCCCCAAGAAATTGACAAACCTCAAACCACCCGCGAAGTCCCAATTCCCCGGCCGGCAGAACGAACATGCAAATGAGCCCTATGCAAATAAGCCCTTATGCAAATAGCAGACGGGACTCCGGGTGTGGTCCTGCAAGTCTGGGGCGCCCCCCAGAGGTATCTCAGGAAACACTGGGGCTGCGACATCACAGTGAGGCCGGTAGGGGTTGGGGACACAGCCTGCCTTAGGACCCCTGCCAGGGTAGTAGTCAGATGTCTCTACTACGTCCCACTGAGGCTGCCCCTTTCCCTGGCCCCTGCCCAGATACATCAGGCCTCCAGCTCCCTGCAAACTCAAGAAGGTTCCCATCAAGCCCAGACCTATGCCATTCCCACCAGGCACATCCACCCTCTGCAGGCAGGATCTTACAGGTGACCATCCTCATGATCAACACCTTCACTCTTCTGCACACCTCTCCATCCTGCACAGTTCTTGGGGGAAGACCCGTGGGTGCCCACAACTCCACCCTCCACACCAGACCCTTCCACCCTGGATCTGGTCACATGCTCTCCTATGCACCTGTAATGACCTCTGCTACCTGCCCAGCCTGGAGCTGAACTGGCCAACCTTTTCTCCCCCATGGGAAGCATGGCCCTCAAATAAGAGGGTCTTCTACTAGCCAGGTCTCACCTTTCCAGGATCCTGAGACCCTCACAACCACTAACAGACCAATTCTCTACCCCAGCTGGAAACACATTTACCATACAGTCACACCTAGTTTAACACTCACTCTATCACAAGTTGCACTCATGACAGACCCACACTGACCCATACACTCACACCTACACAGTCTCACACACTCAGCAGTCAGCAGGCCCTTCTTTCAGCCAAACCTCTACTGCAGAGGCCACCAGTGCCACCCCGTGGTCACTCTCGGGCCTCTATCTTGGGAAAGAAACACTAACCACACCCACTTCTCTGGAGTTCTCCCCTCATCCAAGATCTGTGGGGCTACTGTGCCCTGGCCCTGGAAGGAGCCTTTTCCAGGGCTCCCTGACTCTGCTTATTGCACCCTCCCAAATGCCCCCCACCCCTCCAGGTATCTAGCAGCTTTGGAACCCCCACCCTGCTTACTCCCTCCTGATCAGATGAACTCCTCCAAGAACCAGCCCCTGCCCCACCTTCCTCCTCCCAAATACCACCAGTCCCACCTCGGTCAGGGGCAGACACTTGCCTGTCAGCACCCTGTTCTGCCAGTTGCCTCTCTGACTCCCTTCTGTCCAGACAGACCACTAGCAGCATATCAATTTGGAGTTCCCCCAGCCCCATCAGCCATGTTATAGGCCCTAGAACCTGTTGTTTTAATGAAACCTTGCAGGAAAATCCAAAATAAAGGGTGTCCTCTACCCTAGCCACTCCTCTGGGAATCCAGAGCAGCAATCCAACAAAGCACATGGAGACCCCTTTCCCTGGCTACCCTCACCCACAGGGAAGTCCTTGCCTGGACCACTCCACCCCACTGGACCTTGGCATTGCCCACACTACTCTGATAGCATCTGAGCTGTGTTGGCTCCATGCATGCCCAGGGCAGGGTCTGACTTTTATCTCCCCTGGGCAGAACTTGGCCCAGAGCCAAGAAAGCCTAGCGACAAGGACTTCCTATGAAGAGCACAGGGCAGGTCACTCACAATTTCCTATATCTCACTGCTCAGCTTAGAGAGGGCCCCAAAGATAGTGCCAGGGATCAAACTCCAAGCGATGCCACCAGGCCACAGGCCCTCACAGTGGCACCGTCTGTGGCTGACATCTGGAGTTATGGGATGTCATGGGTGGGCTCTGCAAGGGTGGGCCTGAGTAGCATGGGGGGGCCTCAAACACTGCCTGGGAAGTTTGCCT